ATTTGTACTAAATATTTTCTTGAGTTACCCTCACTATTATAGATAGGTTACACTTTAATCAATGTATTTTTTATATGTTAAGAAATTATCCTAATGGGGCGGGTATGGTGCGGGGGAGGCTAAAACCATACCCGCCCCATACCCATCAAACGTTTTGCGGGTTTTACCCATACCCGCCCCATATCCGGTCAAAGCGGGAATTTCCCGCATTGACTGGGTCGGGGGCGGGCGGGTACCCGCAGTCATGGGTTTGATTGCCATCCCTAATCTGTCACTTTTATCACAAAAAATATTATAAAATCATAATTTATTTTTAAACTCCCAAATTTATAATACTTGGTAAATTCTTTTATTGAGAATGCTTGTAAAATGTAAAGTTATTGTCTATCAAGCTATATGACGCTCAACCATGATAAAGTAGTTGTGTATCAATAAAATATTCAATTCATGATAAGAATTTTATATCGCTTCTGCATATGCAACACGGTAATTCAATATGCAATATTCAACCAATGATATTTGTTTACATCACTTCTCCATATTCAATACTCCAATTCGATATGCAATACTCGAACCAATGATATTTGTGTTGTAATTTTAAGATTATCTTTCATTAATAAGTTATAAAAATTCTAAATTACTTATTAAAATTTATTGAAAAAAATCAAAATATGAAAAATCGAAGAGTCAAGCACCATCAAAATATTTTAAGAAAACTTAGTGGGCTAGCTAACCATTATGCAAAAGTCCTACCCTTTTCATATTTTTTTTAGTTTCATGTCTGATTTGCAATAAAAAAGATATAAAATATTTGTTCAATGTAATTGGTTATGGTTCTGATTTTATCTAAAAAGACCATGGTTCCAATCTTGGTACTGATACGTTTTTTTATGAAGTAGATGGGTTGCCCCATTTCCTCTCAGATCTTCCTCTTCCCTTCGAAGCTTCCTTATCTTTGCCCAAATTGTTTCGACCTCCATCTCTGATCTTACCTCTTTATCCAATTTGTCAATCATTGTTTTGCAATCCGAATCCATCAAGATCGGTCTCTAGTCATTAGCAAGGACCAGGCGAGATGCCTAGAGCATTGCCTTTGCTTCTGCTAAATTTGGTGTCCAATCCGTTCACGACCGGTGAACCGCCGCCATGCAGAAGTTGCCAGCAGCATCTCGAACCACCAATCTGAAACATGTACCCCCATCCTTGAGAATCGCTGCATCAACATTCCCTTCGAAGGTGTTCGTGCAAGATTTCTCCCAACCATAGTTCGGCTTATACCCCAGGATTTGCTCTCGTTTTTTCTGTACCGCTTTATATCTGCTAGATAGTTTTCTGATCTTGCTAAGATTTCCCATTCTTCAAGTTTCAAATTATTGAACAGATGATTGTTGCGTTCTTTCCACATATACAAAAAATAAACTTTCTACTTTCACTCTTATTGTAGGAAATTTGAAATGGAGCAAACCAAGCCCTTTAAAATGAGGAGAGAGAAATAAAAAAAAATTCTTAAATTTTTTTTATGCGATTAAAATTATTTTTTGCATGTCCTAAAAGAATATTTAAATACCAATTTAAAATTTCCAAATTTACTAATGATTAAAATTAAGTCGAAAATACGAATTTTGAAATGAAAGGTTCAATGGAGGATTTTGTTGAGTTGATCATACAGTTGACCGAGCCAATCGACTCATCGCCCAGTCGAAATCACGAATTTTGAAATGAAAGGTTCAATGGAGGATTTTGTTTAGTTGATCATTATAGAGTTGATCGAGCCAATCGACTCATCGCCCTAGGAAAGTGAATATACCTGGCAATCGGGTCGGGTTGGGTAATTTTGGGTTGGAGACTTCGGTTATGGTTCAAGTCATGTTTGGTTGGCTAATTTTGGGTCTATTATTGATCCAACCCATTCGGTTTCGGGTCGGCTTACAGGTTATTTCGGGTTATGAGCGTTCTCAGAAACAATATCAAACATGCTTCATATTTTCTTAAAGAACACAAATTTTCACATATGCATGATAATAGTTTACCTAACACATGTCAATTAATATATTCTCAGATCCTCCCATGCTAATGAAATGAAATACAAATTGCGCAAATCATCAAAAAACAATCACAAGAGTAATACTGCTACAAGAAACACATGATATTTGATTATTCTTAAACTCCAAACATGTCATTCAAATCATTGTGATTTTTTTTAAACATCTCACCAATTTATGAGTGATTTTTATCATTTTTGGGAGTGATAAATCATAGGTTATTGAGTTCGGATCATTCGAATTTCGGGTTACATAAATTTATAATTTTTGGGTGGTTTCGAGTTGGCTCAACGGGTCCGGTTGTAATTAGGCCGGTGTAAAAGTGAAAAACAACAAGTCCGGTCTGTATTCTGTATCCGTATCTCGACTCCGTCCCACGTGCGCAAAACTCCAAAAAGCAAAAGTGCGTAGCAACTGAAGAAGGCATTTATTTATCCACGTCTTCCCCGTTTGCGGCCTCCAATCTGTTTGGGACCGGTTATTGTAACAACACCCATTGTGTTGTTATTGTAACAACACTAGTCCCCAACCAATAGGAAGCTAGGATTGTGATGACTTTTTATTAAATGAGTTGACCTAGTGTAAAATCAAAGCAGGGGTATAATTGTCATTATGAAAAATCTATTTAAATAAAAAAATAAAAAAAATAAAAAAAATAAAAAAATATTTTTTTATTTTCTGCCCAAAAATTTGGTCGTCGGAATTCTGCCACCGGTCGCCGGAAAATGGTCGCCGGTCACCGGAATATGCTTTTTGTCGCCGGAATATGCTATTTTGTGGCCGGAATATGCTTACCGGAGTCGGAATATGCTTACCGGAGTCGGAATCTAGTCACTGGGGCCGGAATATGCCTATCGGCGTCGGAATCTGCTCACTGACGATCACCGGAGTTCGGTCAACGGTCTTCGTTGACCGGTCAACGGTCAACGGCCACCGAATGTTATGGTCTGCATTGTGAGATTTATGGTTTGGTTTCTCATATTTTTTTATGCCTTTTATGGTTTGTTTTATTGTGTTTGTGGTTTGCATTGAGAAGTTTCTGGTTTGTTTTCAAAAACTTTGTGGTTTGCATTGTGAGGTTTCTGGTTTGTTTTAATATATTTGTGGTTTGCATTAGGACGTTTATGGTTTGCTTTTTGTGGTTTGATTTACTATGTTTGTGGTTTGCATTAGGAGGTTTTTGGTGTGCTTTCGCAAATGTTGTGGTTTGCTTTGTGAGGTTTGTGCCTTTGTGGTTTGTTTTAGGAGATTTGTGGTATGCATTAGAAGGTTTTTGGTTTGCATTAAGAAGTTTCTGGTGTGCTTTCGAAACTTTTGTGGTTTGGTTTGCGAGGTTTCTGGTTTGTTTTAATATATTTGTGGTCTGCATTAGGACGTTTTTGGTTTGCTTTACCGTGTTTGTGGTTTGTATTAGGGAGTTTCTGTTGTGCTTTGCAAAATATTTATGGTTTGCTTTGTGGGGTTTTTTATATATTTTAGCGAAATTGTGGTTTGCATTAGGAGGTTTCCGATATGTTTTTTGTGGGTTGTTTTATTGCGTTTGTGGTTTGAACTAGGGGGTTTTTGGTGTTAGAAATATTTGTGATTTTGTTTATTCTGTTTTTGGTTGGTTTTAGTGACTTGTGATCTGCATTAGAAAAATTATAAATTGACTTGTACTCACTAATTGCAATTACAAATGAACTAAATTGGTGTTTTGCAATGAAAATTAAAGTGAGACAATGAAGAGACAGGAATTAGTTCTCCTCCACCACCATCTCCACCGTCGCATTTATGAAAGAAGCCATTATTATTGCAGCCTTTTCCTCCTTCGGTATTTTCCTTTCAGTTTCAGCCCCCTTTTCTGGTTTGCCCGAAAAAAAGAACACGTTTTCAGATGAGAAGAAGTAAAGAAAGGAAGTAAAGGTGCCATCTGGGACTCCTTCTTCTCCATGGCTTCTCTCTGGTCCTTCCTCTTCCTCCTCTCCTCGTTATCTATGTTCGCCTGCTTCTCCTCCGTCTCCAGCGAGGAGAATGACATCGCCATCACGCCCATAAATCGAGATCTCTACCATTCCAGGTAAACCTTCATCGCTTCTCTGGATTCGAATCATAAAGATTTCCAGGGGGGAAACAAAAGAGAAAAGGGTTATTCTCTGGCCAGAGATCCAAAATTGTCCCGGGGGTTTCCGTCCTGCCTACCTCGTGTTCGAAGTATTGCGACACAGAAACCCAGAAGCCGCGACATTGAACTTTATTTAGTCCAACACTCTCTCTTTCGTTTTATAATTTAAGATTATCAATTAATTTGCTACAATGAACTTTATTTTCCAGGAGCATCATGAACAGTACGACCAGAAGGAACTTGGGATACTTCTCTTGCTCCACGGGCAATCCAATCGACGACTGCTGGCGGTGCGACCCCAACTGGCAATCCCACCGCAAGCGCCTCGCCAACTGCGCCATCGGCTTCGGCCGCAACGCCATCGGCGGCCGAGACGGCCGCTACTACGTGGTGTCGGACCCCGGCGATGACGACCCCCTGAGCCCGGCGGCGGCTGCTGGTCAACCTTCCGCCGGATGGGATTCGACGACAGTGACTCCATTTTATTGCAGTTTCTTCCATAAAAAAGAAATTGTCGGAGGAGAGCGCACAGGAGGAGAAGCCGTCGGCTTCGGAGGAGAGATTCTGACGGCGGCATCCTGATAGTAGTGGTAGAGATTCTGCCATTTCGCGTCGCCGGCGGCGGGTCTAGCAGCAGTGGCGGAGGAGTTTGATGGGGTTGTGAAGAGGAAGGGGAGGAGAAGCTGATGGCGGCGGAGGAGATAGAGGTCTGGTAGGGGAAGAGGGAGAAACAGAAACACACTTTTTATTATTTTTTTAATTCTAGTTTTTTTAATTTTCTTGTAAGTTTACCTTTATATCCTTGTTGTTAGCATAACAACACATGTTATACTATCTTCTCCCAATCTGTTTCCCGTCACCATAATCTTGACTCCAACTCTCCAACCACAGACCCAAATCGTTTTCACTTTCAGAAACAGAATTCAAATTAAAATATTTTTCTTTTATTTCCGCATTTTCCACCACTTCTGTTTCCCATCCACAGAGGCCTTTCTTCTACCATTTTCCCACACTTTCCCTTACCAGAAGATTCCCTGAACTGAATCACGCAAAGCCGCCTTCTCCAAATCTTGCGAGCTGCCAGTTCGAATTCCTCTTCGCCGAGTGTCGCATGCGTAACCGACCGAGGATTCGCAGCTCTGCATCTGCTGGAGTTCGATTCTCCCTGCATACCGTGTCGCCGTTGTTTCCGCTGCCCCTGAATTGCTCACTGCTAGGGTTTCTTCCCCTGGATTCATGTTTTATCTAGCTAATGGTTATTCCCCTTCTTGGTCCCGCCTTGGCCCTCAATTCAGTTGGGCAACTGATTTCAATACCTTCGCCGCTGCTGCTTGTTCTTCGCCTCCTAAATGATTTTGCAGTCTGCTTCTGCGAGCTTCGACTTCTCCTCCTCTCTAAATCTTCTACCCCAGCTCTGTCCATGTAGGAATTCGTCACTAGCTGCCGGGCATCCCTGTAAGAGGAGGAGACGAGTCAACTTTAGGCGGGAATTCGGTTCTCGTGCTTGCGCAATCCCCAGCGATAGGTACGGTTATGGGAACTGCACTGTCAATATAGATGGCTTAGCCAGTTCCGCCAGACGGGGTGCTCAGAGCATCATTCTGGATCGAATTTCTGACGAGCTGGAGGATGAAATCCTGGGGCAGTCTTCGTCTTCGTCTTCCTCGATGCAGATGGGATCCAAGTTTTCCAGTTACCAACAGGATCCAATGGTGGATAAGTTGAGGACTCAGTTGGGGGTCATTCATCCAATTCCGTCGCCTCCCATTAATGGGAACCTAGCCTGGTTGTTTGTTTTCTTCTTCTTCGTAGGGGTGGTTTTTGATAAACTGTGGACCGCGAGGAGGAGGAAATCGGGGAATGAAGATGGCCAGCTCGGGACGTGGCCGCAAGTTCCCACTAGCTTCTCCTTGTTCTTGGAGAAGGATTTGCAGAGGAAGGAGTCGGTGGAGTGGGTGAATATGGTGTTGGGCAAGTTGTGGAAGGTCTACAGAGGTGGAATTGAGAATTGGATCATTGGATTGTTGCAGCCGGTCATCGACGATCTGAAGAAGCCAGATTATGTCGATAGAGTTGAGATTAAGCAATTCTCATTGGGGGATGAACCATTGTCTGTCAGGAACGTAGAGCGCAGGACTTCTCGCAGGGCCAATGACTTACAGTAAGTTTATAATTTGTTCATCTATAATATGTTGCACCACTTTTAATGTTCCTAATTCCATCATGTAAATTAAGTCACAGGGACTTCATATGAAAGTTTACATAGATACGAACACTGAAGTTCAACTGGTGAAGAAAAACTTACGTGGATCTTGCTTTGGGCTGGGTGAAGTATTCGATTTAGTCTGAATATACAAAGAGTTTATAGTATTGGATTGAGTTCAAAGTAATGATACCGGATAATTGCCTAACTAACCAGAAGAGGTGTTCATCTGTATTACATATGCCCATTTACTACAGTGCGGTTAAAGTATTTAATTGGGTTAACTAACATCAAGAGTTTTTCATTATATCACATATACTCTTTCTAGTACATAGTGTGTTCTTGTCCTCAGGTTTGGTAAGAAAGATTAATATCCTTTTAACTTTTGTATCATGAATTTTTTAGGTACCAAATAGGCCTTCGATATACAGGTGGTGCTCGCATGCTTCTTATGCTTTCTTTAAAATTTGGCGTAATCCCGGTTATGGTCCCAGTCGGTGTTCGGGACTTCGACATTGATGGTGAACTTTGGGTCAAACTAAGGTTGATCCCAACAGCACCTTGGGTTGGAGCTGCTTCTTGGGCTTTTGTTTCACTCCCACGGATCAAGTTTGAATTATCACCTTTCCGCTTATTCAACTTGATGGGTAAGTATGGTTCTGAAACCGGCTGTTAGTGCGCTTATATTTCTATTTTACTCCAATAATATGTTAATGTAGTTAGTATCATTATATTCTATGGTCTGATCCTGAACATCCCTCTTTCAAAATGTCAGGGTGTATAGAGGTCAAATGCTTTTCGCTTTCTTTTATTTTAGGGCCTAAACAATTTTTATAAGCCACCAGGACATGCATGTGGTGTGGAGGCTAGTAATTGTCTTTTAGGATTGTTGAAGCTGTGGGGTTGTGCTGTCTGGAGAGGCTTTGTTGTCATTTGTGTCAGAGAGAATATCTCCTTTTAAAAGATAATTTGCTCTCCTGTCTTTGTTGTATGATTGCTTAACCGGAGTAATACATTATCATTTGTGTCAGGTAATCTCTAACATATTTGTGGAATTCATAAATGATGCTATAAATTCTGATACAAGTTTCTTTTCTTTTTGCATGGTTCCTGCAACATCAGCTATTCCTGTTCTCTCTAGGTAGGAGGAATTTTCTTCATATCCTGTCTTTCTGTTTTTACAAGGTTGTTCCCTTAATGTTTGGCTCCATATATGTTTGCACCCTAGTCCTTTGACTTTCTTTCAGTTGGCACTCCACGTTTTACCTGCTCAGAGAACTTCAGTTTTGGTTCAATGAACAGTAGATGATTATCACAATAAGACAATACTCCCTAAGTAGACTTTATGCTTTTGCTTCTCCATCCCATTTTGAAGGTTATATCCAAGCTTTATGAGAATATTTTATTTTGTTATCTCCAGCATTTAGGATCCCAAAAGATACTATTATATTGGGCTGTATGATTAGATCAGCGATAATATGATTGAGCCTACTGAATTACTTGTCAATATGCATGCAAATTGACAGGACATCAATGGATTAACCTCATTGTTTCCAACGTCCCAGATTAGAGATTATCCTTCTGTTTTGGCTTAACAAGTACAATGCCTTTAGTGCAAGTGCAATCTGTGCCAGGACATTTTGGATGCTTTTATGGTCCCTCCAGTAAATGGCTAATCTATAATTTTTAGGTTCTTGACAAAACTTCTCACTGTGGACTTGCCTCGATTGTTCGTGCGTCCAAAGAAGATTGTTTTGGATTTTCAGAAGGGAAAAGCAGTTGGCCCTGTGTCAGCTGGTTCACAAGCTAGAGAAACGCAAGAAGGAAACAGGGATTTCGTTGGTGAATTATCAGTGACTCTTGTGGATGCTCGGAAACTTTCTTACCTCTTATATGGTAAAATTTCTTTTTCCTTTTCACTATCTGGAAACATGCCCCTCATATGCTGCAGAAAAAATCTGGTTCCTTAACTTCTGATTCCTGATTAGCATCCAAGTAGTTGTATTTGTTTCTCCTCAATTTCTGTCTCTGATTATGCATCTTAATTTCTTCGCATTTGCTCTGTATCCTATCACTTTTTCACTTTCCATATTTGCATGACAATCCTGTAAATGAGATTTTCTTACAACTCATCTACAGCCACAAGTCTGATACACAAGTCCCTTCTTCTAAATCAATTGTAACTCTATGATTCAAATATTGATATTTTTTGTTCATTTACTGAAAAGGTGGAAGTGGCACATATGTGTTTTGAGGTATCCATTATATGAAGCTACCGCACTTGCCCTGTTGATATTCTAAGTCATTGCATAATCAAAGCCTAGGATCTTATAGCTTTGTCATGATAATGAAACGTAGAAATGCAAATACGTATCTGCATACCCCATTTGACTGGATAAGTAATGGTCCCAGCATAATTGTCTCATTTCTATTGATGACACACTTAGATGAAGACAGCTGACATCTGTTTGATTAAATAGTTTCCACTTTTATTGTTGTCTCTGCTAGGTAAAACTGATCCATATGTTGTTTTACGTCTGGGGGATCAAACAATACGCAGTAAAAAGAACAGTCAAACAACAGTAATTGGACCGCCTGGCGAGCCAATCTGGAATCAGGTGAAGCTTCTTATGTCATCTCCTCTGAGATTAGTCTGGCAATTTGGTTAATATTTAACACAAGCAACTATATGGTCTAAATTGCTGCAACTAATTAACTAATTACAGTTTCTGACTACGACAGGATTTTCATTTGCTTGTTTCGAACCCTAGGAGTCAAAAACTCATTGTCCAAGTGAAAGACTCTCTTGGATTCAGAGACCTGACCATCGGTACGGCAGAGGTAAATTAACCTTCTGTGGCTTTGAAGTTCGTAATTCACCTCCTTATTGTAAAGAGCTGCCCTTGGAAAGACTTATTGCTAAGGTTTGGGTTTGCATGATTCGTAAAACTGTATCTGAAGTTACACCGGACAAGTTAGTGGAATGGTATATTAGTGGTACAATTGTGGTTCGACAGATGGCATACAGGTGGAATAACGTAGTTAGACTAAAATAAAATATTCAAATGGGAACATTCCGGTCTGATACCGCAATAACCAGCCGATATTACCAATAATTACCAGTGTAAGTGCATAAAACTTGCTGACATGATTCTTTCATATTTTTTGTATACCGTGCCGGTCTTCATGGCGGTGTTTACGGTCTGACCGGCGGTATGATATGGTTTAATAATCCTTGTGGAAAGTGTTAGAAATTTGTTGGAGTTTCTTTTGGTATAAAGTTGATACTTTCGAGTTACCGTACAGAGGTTGAATCTGCAAAGCATGCCTAGGCTCTACCAAAACAAACAAACAGAAATATTTGCAGTGAATCCTCTTCATTTGTGTGATTGATTTCATCTACAGGTTGAGTTGGTGTCTCTGCAAGACACAGTGCCAACAGATAGGATTGTCCTTTTGCAAGGGGGTTGGGGACTATTCGGGAAGGGATCTGCGGGAGAAGTACTGGTTCGGCTAACATACAAGGCATATGTCGAGGATGAAGATGATGACAAGGCTGTGGAGACGGAGTCGGTTGACACGGACACTTCAGATGATGAAGTGAACTCTGATGAACTCGATGCAATCTATGAACCTGCAGATCAAAGGGATTTACTAAATGGAACAGACAAAGAATCCTTCATGGACGTTCTTGCTGCCCTGATTGTGAGTGAGGAATTTCAAGGGATTGTAGCATCAGAGACGGGAAACATTAGAGCAATGGATGATCCATCGAATGGGGGCCCCACGCTTCCTAGGCCCTCAGGTATGAGTGCTGAATCACTGCCATCTAGTTCAAGCCAGAGTTCTGAAGGTTCAGGAGGTAAAATTTTATTTCATTCTTCATACTACGCAATCATGCAGTTGTCTTCTTAATCTTTGTACGTATATATTCTCATGATGTACCACCCTTCCGGATCGCAGGATCTGTGTTGCTGGGTCTTGCTGCAATTACAAGCATATTAGTTCTAATCTCTCTTAGTATGACGAGCGGATCAAATCTTTTCAATCCGTGAATGTACAAGGTAAAGAAGCTCTGCCTCTACTTGGTATTCGAGTTCGTGGAGCAATCAAGGTCTCTCCGCTTGTAGTAAGGACGGGCTCCATTGAGTAGAGGAAACTGATGATTCTGCTTGAAGTGTTAGCCTACTCGATCTCGTCTTGAGGTGTATATACGCCAGAGGAACGTTTTGACTGGGCAGCATAGACAATGCACACAGGAAAGTTTTGGTTTCGCAGTTAACCCTTCGGTGTTGGATACACAATTGTAGTTTTATGGTAGGCTACGAAGACCGTAAGACTGTGCACTGTCACTTAGTTGAGTTGTTGCAGAGGTTTTTATTTATAGATGATTAAGCTGTCAATACGTGCGGAACCGGGAAATGAGAATGGGCATTGCGCAACTAGCACTGCCCCACGGACCCGACAAGCAGTTTCTCCATGTACAAAACTTCCAACACTAGGATTGTGACGGTGAGAACCATAAATAATAGGGAAGGAATAAAATAATAGGGAAGGAATAACCGTAACTTGCATTTTTAGGTCGATCTCATATAGAATTAGGTCGACCTAATTTGTCGTTTCAATCTTGTACTAGAATGCAGCTTATTTCGTAACAACTTTGAGCCTTTTGTTTGAAACCTTCAAGATATGCAATATTTCATCCCATGCCTTGACTTTGTAGATAAACATACCTACTTTCATGTGGTAGAGGCCCCTGCACTCGAATCTCATCCATGTTTCTTGAATTGAGCTTCAAAGCAGGCTTCACAAACACTTTTTTAGCCATTTTCAAGCAGTTTCCCAGTTTTGGCATAGCCTTTTGATCCAGTTCAAAAAATGTCTTCTAGACTTCCTATCGAGCTCCAAAGCACTTCAATGTGTAGAAAGACACTCCAGCTTCAAAACAAGCCATTAATCTCCAATTTCCATCAAGCAAATTGTAAGATATGAATCTCCAAAGTAAGTACCATGAAACTGTTTTTACTTTTTACAATGAAACAACATATTAGGTCGACCTAATCCTAACTGAGGTCGACCGAAAAGTGCAAGTTACGGTGACATGCATGTCACCATAGGCACACCCTAACTTTTTTACTTGGTACTCTTGAATCACAAACTACAAACCGTGCCATATAGCAACAGATGAATTTTGTGTGTGTTCCTAGACTTGGCGATCGGGTTGGCGGTTGCGGGTTGTAGCCGTAGGTCGTAATGGGTGGACCATGTTTAGTTAGGTTGATTTTAGGTCATATATTGACTCAACCAAAGTCTTTTGGAACGAAATCGGTAATTTCAAGTCATAAGTATTCTAAAATACGTGAACAAATATGATTTAATTTTAGTCAAAGAATACAAATTTTGTTATATGTATGATAATAATTTATCTAATACACCCCAATCTCAAGTCATGAGCGTTCTAAAAAACAAGAACAAACATGCTTCAATTTTGTCAAAGAATAAAATATTTCATATATGTATGATATTAGTTAATAGACGGTATTGTCTTATGTGCACTCACTTTTTTTACTACATGCTATGTACCACCATTATAATTGTCATTCGAAGTATGTGACTTGTGTCAAAATGGTGTCAATCGTCACTTGTGATATGATAGATAAGAAAATACATGAATTTGTGCAAAAGTCATTCCCGAATTACTTTTGTTTGAAGGATCTATGGTTAGGGTTTATAATTTAGAATTAGAACTCATGATTTAAGGTTTAGGGTAATGTATGTATTAGTTGTAATCCTATGTTATATGTTAGATTAATACTACCGATTAAAATTTAAAAATCGATGTCTTAGAGCTAATTTTATAATGGGGTGCATAGTATGCACTCATTTTTATGGGTGTAGAAGCCACCGCCAATTGACATATTTCTAAATGCTCACATTATTATTAGTTAGTATATATAAAGCGCCTAATTGCTTAAGGGGTCCAGTAGCATGAGGGCGGGTGCACCACAGCTTCCGTACACCCGCTTTCCCTCATCACCCATCCTAGATTTTCGTTAGGTTTCTTCCCTCCGGCAATCGCCTAGCGGCTAGACAAGTACAGAGCGCTTCCCTCCGACGATAAACGGGCAAGCCTAATCGCCGTTAGAAACTTTTCACTTGATAGCCCAATGGGTTGCGGTAGGGATCACCGCAAGCCCCCGTGTGCCCTCTTTTCCCCTCCCAGACTCTTCTTCGATCCCCTGCGGCTAGCCAAGTTGCGTTTCCTGTGGTGTGATGGAATGCGGCAGGGTTCATCATAATCTCCTATGCAGAATGGATCCTCGACATCCATCTCTATCTCTGCATGTTGTGTTGTGTTGTGGGATAAACAAGCAGCTTTCTGTCTTTCTCTCTTCTTCTTTTTCGTTTAATTGTCGCACGGCATGGATGAGGGGCCATAAAATGAACAAGTCGATCGCCAAGGCTTCTCTCCCAAACTCCCTCAATTAGAACGTGTGTTGGGCTAGGCAGGACAGGACAGGACAGGACAGGACAAGCACTTCTGTTAGTTAGTTGGGCAAGCATACGCTTTCAACCTATGGAGTCAATCGAAATCTACAGAAACCTCCAATCCACCATAATAAAGGAGGTAGGACAAGAATATAATTGACATGCACCACAAATCTTTTCCCCCCACCAAGAACAGAGATTGGACGAATGCAGAACCAAGCTCTCTATCACTTCTTCTCTTCATTCCCGAGTTCCATTTATCAAGAATTTACCTGCACACACAAATTGTCTTTCTCACCCACATAAGCTACTCAATAACAGAGATTGGAAAAATCCAGAACCAAACTCTATCCCCATCACTTCTCTCCAGCTTTGCAATTGCGCTAGAAATCATCCCTGGTGCACTTATAATTCTCGCATGCAAAGTAGACAGTAAATGGCACTCTCGAATACTGGATTACACTAAAGAAGGAACCTAGAAACCTACACTTCTAGCTTATATATAGCAAGAATATGGTAACAAATGAAGATAATGCTCCTCTTCGTATCTTTGGATTATTGTGTGGGTTATTCCAAGCATGCATGCATGCGTTACATATGGCAACAAAACGAGGGACACCTGTAAACATTCACTAACCTTATGCCTTCACTTCACCAAACTTCAAACGACGATGCGTAATTGTCCGGATGTCGAGTTTGATGCCTTCACTTCCCCTAAATCAATTTGGCATTTGGATGGTGTTTTCTTTTTACTTTATTCATGACTTTTCTTTTCAACATATAAATTATTAATTCTAATTTGTTTTAATTATCGATAATGAAACTACATAAATGGTAAATGATTTTTAAACATTCTCAAGATCCTTCAAAGACACAAAGTTGTATTTGTTTCTTAAGAAAAGTTATAAAATCACATGAGAAATTACTAATTTTGACATTGAATTCAAACCGCAATAAGAAGTTAATTTAGAATAACTTAATTCAATACCTCTCAATTAGATATTCGAGCTTCCCGCCGCAAAGCGCGGGCCAATTGTCTAGTATTATTGAAAGGAAATACTAATTGCACAAAACACTAATGAAAGTGTCGTCAAGTATAGCAAAAGAAAGGTTGTCACATCGTAAGTTGCTAATTACTCAATTCAGATCACTCATTTCGAATATAGCTGATTTAGAGGCTCTGAGTTGCACGATTGAGATGCATCTTTGCTTGGGGACAAACATACACTCAAGTGTGGAGGATTGATAACACCTAATTTATGAGAATTCCGTACCCTAATGTAGTAAAAATCGGGATTTTACGTAAAATTGAAAACTGTGGAAAAATCGAAATTGTAGAATAAAATTGGAAAATCGTAAGAGTTTAAGGTTCATATTAAAATTGACACGAGCACTTCTACTATGCTCTAAAGTATGGGTGCTTTAATGTACAATTTGAAGTTGTACCATAACGTTAAATGTAAAAGTTCGGGTTGTACCATAAAGGAATTTGTACCCTTATGTTATGGTACAACTTAAAGTTGTACCATCACATAAATGTACAAGTTCAAGTTGTATCATAAAAGAATTTGTACAAAAGAGTATAGGACCAATCTAAAGTTGTACCATAACGTTAAATGTATAACTTCAAGTTATACCATAAAGGCAAAAACCTATAGCACCAATGCTTTATAGCATGCTAACATTCCTCAAATTGACGCATAAAATGACTTGTAGTTATAACAATAAATATCATGAATAACAATCAACCACATATCACTTTATTACTTCTCAGGATAAGTTTCTATGCTAACAAATGCAAATAAATACATAGACTTCTTGTACATGACATAAACACAAAAATAAGCAACCTGAAACCTCATAGAAATCACTTAATATAGGAAATAGTTAAGAGTACAAAATCAAATGAGATAGGATCAATATTAATATATAAGTCCTCAACATCATCATCATTATAACCCTCACTCTCATCCTCATAGTGTCCTTGTCTATTTATTTGGGAAACGATATCATGATTCTCTTGATCCCTTGAAGTACTTTCAACTCCAACTATATTTCCTTGACCGCCATCATCCAACAAAGATAAATTATTGATTGATGCATTTTCATGTTGATCGAGCACTTGATCATCCTCAATTTCGTTGAAAACCACATCTCAAGCAATTCATTCGCCATTATATTCTATATCCTCAAATGTACTTTTAATCTTTCAACATTTCCTTCGCATAAGCGTTGAGTTATACACTACATAGATAAGGTCGCTGGTGACAACTAGTAGTGAAGGAGGACAAACAGGATGGCAAGGTTTGAGTTGGTGGCGCTAAAGCTTTTGGAGAAAATGAACAAACAAGAAGATAATTAGAATGAGGATTGGGCTAATTGCAAGGGTTATGAGGGAACAAGTTAAGAGTTCATTAAGAGGTTAATTGAGGAAAAGGTTGATGCGGAACAGGCGACAAGCTGTGAGTATTCTGTTGGGATGGGCGTCACCGTGCGAAAGAGGAAAAGAGGAGGAAAATTGAGAGTCTCTTGTCGAATTAGGGTTTTGACTCGCACTAACTACAACTTCCCAATCGGAGGCCAAGTATAACCAACGACCGGGTGTAGCATAAGGTAAGCAAGTAGTAAAATTTTCGAACCACAGGTCTCTAGATGTACCTTACTTTGGCTTAAGTTTTGTTATCTATCCAACCAAGAATAGTGATTGGGACTAAACTAACTACACTAATCTAACCACTACCCTAGTTAATTACAAGTTTGGGAGCTCTCTTAGGCTTGAATCCCCCTATCTCCTCAATCGGATCGATGTTGAGTACTATCCTAGATTGATTGACTCTATATTTCTACCACGGAGAATACTATACTAGATTGGATCCCCTATTCGAGTGCATCCAATCCCTCTCAATTGTGCTACCCCGAGAGGCATACCAACCAACTAGTGAATGCAATTGAGGTATTTATAACTAATTCCCACGATTGGGCAAGACCCATTGATAGCACTATATTTGCACATGTTTTTTCCGTCATTTCTTGATTGTTTAGCTTGGAAATTGATCGTTTGGCCTATTTTATGTTTGTTTGTGTTCGTTTGTGATATTTCAGGTCCTAGTACGTGAATGAAAGTTTAGGAACGAGTTTGGGACGATTGGGAGAATTTTGAGAATTTTGACAAGGGCATAGGAAGTTTGCACGACCTAGAATCTAGTTTGCATGACCGT